CTAGTCACTGCTGGGTCGTCCCAGCACCAGCACTGACTGAAGGACTCCTGGGTTGGTCAACCTCCGGTCGTGATTGGTCGTTACAACCCTGGCCTTTTTTTATATATTAGACTAGAGGCCTCGTGCACAAACTCATGCATGGGTGGGGTCTGGCTGGTCAGCCCCAATGAGGGCCAGCAGGGTGGATCAGGGGCAGGGCTGGCTGGGGGGAAGGGCCGTGATCAGAGCAGTTGGCTGGCCACAGTGGGCATTATAGGGACATAGCGAGTGCTCGTTCTGGTCATTCTGGTGTTCTGGTCACTGGCTTTTTATATATATAAATGGTAGGTATATTATAAACATTGTTCTACTATCTCCTTATTTTTCCTCTTAAAACTACACCTTGATAGCACTGGAGTGTTGATCTGTGAGTGCCTTGGGTGGGGCCCGGATGAGGCTGGTGGACCTATTTGGAAATGTCTTTTGTGTGAAGTGTATCATTGGGCATGTGGAGGTATTATTGATATGAGAAAATGCTAAGTAACAGATTTACTATCTGAAAAGGGATTTACTATTGGGGAAAGGGAGGGAGGAAGAGACTGAACATAAACTGTGCACCTATGGATGAGGACAATGGGGGGTGGGGAGGGGGCGGAGGGTGGGGAGGGAACCTGGTGGAGGGGGGAAGAAATGAGGAACCTTTGTAATAATATGAACAATAAAGATTGATTTAAAGACAAAAAGAAAAAAAACAAAAAGAAAAAAAAACAAAACTACACCTTGAAAATTGTTCCCTAAATTGCATAGTCTCTTGCTTTTTTTTTTCTTCCATGTTTGCAAGCACATCACCATGTGGATAAACCATAACTTGTCCTATTAGAACTTACTTCCAATATTTTACATTTATAAACAATATGGCAATAAATAACTCACTATTTCACATACGAGTGCAACTATAGGATAAATTTCTAGAAGTTAATTTTAAATTTTAAATAAATAACATGAGTGTACATATCCTTCTACTTCTGCTTCAGTGACCTATCCTATATAATAAAGAGCTAATATGCAAATGGTTGTCATGCCCTCGCACTCTTGCACTGGGGCAGGGGGACCTGAGACCGTGCCCCCTGCCCCGGAGCCAGGGGACCTGAGGCCACACACTCCGCACTGGGGCCAAGGGACCTGAGGCTGCACCCCCTCACCCAGCGGAACTTGATGGGGTACCTGAGGTTGTGCGCCCCCGCCCAGCGCTGGGCCAGGGGACCTAAGGCTGTGCCCCTTGCCCTGAAGGGCTTGATGGGGTTGGGACCAGCAGGGTCTGGATTGTACATGATTTTGAGGCACACATGGGTGGACTTGACTCTGGGTCCCATGGTGCGCCCCAGACTCTGACAGGAGGGAGATTTTCATATACATTTTACTAATTTTCTTTCATCCCTGACACTTCTATTATAGAGAACAGACAAATAGTAATATTAAAATATTTCCTCTAATTAATTCCCTTTTAACGTGCATGAATTTCGTGCACTGGGCTACTGTTACATATTTGTGATTCATCCATGCTTATATATATAGCTCTAGTTCATAGGTAAGATTTTTTACTTAAAGAAATGTTTAAATAACTTCTACTATGATTCATCCACAAAGAGAACAGTCACCTATTAACCTGAAATCGTAGGTTTATGTAGAAATACTTGCCAACTTAATAGATTCTATGTATAAACAACTCATTTGCCAACGACACACCCAAACCACTAAACAGGAAGCCTTCTCTTGGAAAACTAACAAAAGCTGCCAGTTTAATTACTGCATTAGTCACATGACTCTTTGTTCATTCATGCTGTTATAATTATTCTACCTGGGAGGGAAGGGGAGTGGACCAGCAAGGGAGAGTACACTAACATCTTGGACTAACACCTTCACAACCAGGAAAAAAAGAAAAACCTTGGAAGTAATACGAGTTAATTCAAGCATATTTCCAAATTAACCCTGTTGTCTGTTTAAATTTTCCCATCAAAACGTTACCATTAACTTTTTTCCTTGTATTAGGAAACAAAATAATCACTATAAATTTACAGTCCCCTCCTTCCCAAAAATTAAATTTCATCTAAGCATGGAATATGATATTGGGTTAATTTATCAATGTGTAAACTAACTTTCAAAGCTCTATCTACTCCAAATTGTCTCCATTAGATAATAGGTTTCCAAAAAAAAATGTATATACTTTGAATGATAAGTCAGAGTTTATTAACATACTGTTCATTTTCAAAATTAAAAGAATCTACAGAAATAAGTGTGTATACATTTTTGAGGACACCCTACATATGGCTAATATTATTCCTAAGAATTCTTGCCAAATTAAAGCTAGTGTAAGTTACCAGTGTCACCTCTATAGTAGCTACTTTGGCCTGCCCACGGAGCTGCTATATCCCACTTTCTCCCAATACCCACTTCTGGGTAGCTATCTCCCTGTTCCCTCACACTATCCAAGTACTTCCTAAGATTCCCCTACACACACACACACACACACACACACACACACATCCAAGAGTGGCCATATCCCTCCGAGGGCAATTCCATCTCCCTGGCTAGTGCCCACTTAGGAACACAGCCTAAGCCAGTTGGCACCAGGCATTCCTGGCCTGAGGGACTGGACGAGCCAACGGGATTCGTGACAGGTACGCTAGCACTTCCTCTGGAGAGAGCACTACAGGAAGAGATGTTCTTGGCTCGGTTGAGTTGGATTTTCCATTACTTGGGGTAAAAAGCATCCCAACTGTTTAACAACTTAAAAATGTACTGGCTGAGCGAGCCCTGGCCAGGTGGCTCATTGGTTGGAACACTGTCATGGTTCGATGCCAGGTCAGAGTACGGACCTAGGTTGTGGGTTCGGTCCCCATCAGGGCCCCTACGGAAGGCCACGGATGAATGTTTCTCACTCCAGTGTTTGCTTTTCTTTCTCTCACTCTCACTCTCTCCCATCCTCTCCCTATAAAATCAGTAAACAAGTCCTCTGGTGGTGATTTTTTTAAAAATGCACTGGTTGACGATTCTCACCAACATCCACTTAATGCATTTATGAGCAAACTGAACCACAGCTATGAAACCTATGTTCCCCTGGCTAATAGAGGCCTTTCCATATTTGGTGACGTTGCTGATTTTTGTGATGCTGTTGGCTTTGACAGTGTGAGGTGCATGTGGAGGAGTGAAAGTTAAGGAACAGCAGACACTGTTGCTCATGGCACACAACCACATCACAGAACAAATCCAGAACACAAAAAATGTCCTCTTGCTTTCCTATCTGCCATGCCAAAGCCTCCTAGCAAATAGAGAGAGAGGGGAAGAGAGGGAAATGGGGAGAAGGGGAGAGGGGGAGAGAGGGAGAGGGGGAAAGAAGGAGAGGGGGAGAGGAGAGGGGGAGGGAGAGGGGGAGGGAGAGGGAGAGGGACAGGGACAGGGACAGGGACAGGAAGAGGGAGAGGGAGAGGGAGAGGGAGAGCGGAGAGGGAGAGGGAGAGGGAGAGACAGACAAACACACCTGACTGCTCATGTCTACATTAGAAGAAGGATGAGCATCCTAACCCCAGCAGAATGGTGGGCGAGGTGAGGACATCGCTACTGTCATCACTGCTTGGGGGTCACCAATGAGCATTCCTGAGCAACACTTGTAAACGAAAGGCTTGCATTTGCCAGCATGTACAGAGACAGCACAGCCAAAATAAACAGATAACTCCAAGGGCACAGAACGGCCTCACTGACCTAGCACAGACCCACCCTACGGGGCGCTATGGCCCTAGCCTGGCATTTGCCTCTTACTTTCTTACATTTCAGGCCTTGCTGATTCTCCTAAGAAGGTTTGGGCAGCGGTTCCCTGCGGGCTACACAGCACCGTTCCAGTCCTATGACTCAGAAAGGGCAAGAGAAGGGAGGGTCTCCTCTTCCATCCCTAGGCAAAATCAGAAAATGTTCATTTAGCTCCGGGAGCGCAGACTCAGGTTAGTTCACTCACGGGTCAGACTTTTCAAAAACGTTTCTTTCTTTATGTGCGAGTCATACACTATTATTTGTGTATGACTCGCACATAAACGAATTAGTATCCGTTCCCTACTATTTTCCTCTGGAATCCCTCCTTAACACAGTCAAATGTCTTAATGTAAAAGAAGAAGGAAAAAAAAGAAAGAAATTAGGCCTCACAAAGTTTGCAATTAAACTTCTTGTGCCAGAACGGGTGGGCTGGAGAGCACGCTTCTATTCCCAGGACGCTGTATTGAAACGCTTGGGCAAGAGAGTCCACACTTTTCCTTGGAAAGCATGTTTTCTGATGATGCACACTAACTTGTGTGTTAACATGTCAGTACCCGCCGTGGGAGTAACTGGAAAGGAGGTGCATGCATGGACCGGTCAGTTCTATCTGGCCGCCACACCCGCCCTGCCCCCCGGGTTTGGCACAGAGACTGCAGCCCGGTCCCGGGAGCCCTGGGGGCCGGAGTCCCATCCAAACAGAGACCGCGGCGCATGGCAAAGGCAGGGCCAGGTCACCAACCTCCAGCCTCCAGCTCCGCCGGGCACCGGGCATCCTCTCCGGCCAGGTGGCCTTCCCGATTGTGTGTTTCAATTCCGTGATCCACACACACACACACACACACACACACACACACACACACCCCGCCCCGCCCGGGGCGCGGCCGGAGCAGGTGGGACGCCGGCCTGGCGCAGGGGACGGAGCTGCGGACAATGCCCGGGGCCCGCGGCGCGATGGGCTGGCCCGGAGCCGGCGATGGGCGCCCCCCGGGGCCCCGCGCCCCCAGCGCCCCCGCGCCGCCGCCCCCCGCGCGCCCGGCCGCGCCGCCGTCGCCATGGCGACCGCCCCCGCCCCCGCCCGCCCCGCCGCCGCCGCCGCCGCAGCCCCGCCGCCGCCCGGACAGAGCGCGGGAGCCCGCGGCGGGGATGGCGGCGGCGGGGCTGCAGGGGGCCCGGAGCCCGGAGCCCGGCCCGCCGGCGCCCGCCTCGCCCGGCCTCACCTTTCACTTTGCCGAAGGTGCCCACGCCCAGCGTGTCCCCCAGGATGTAGTGGCCGATCTTCACCCGCCCGTCGTGCTTCTGCTTCTCGGCCGTCGCCATCTTCCTCCAGGAACTGAGCCTGCGCATGGCGCCGGCAGGGGGCGGAGGGGGCGGGCGGCCGGGCGGCCGGGAGGAGGTGGGGACGCGGGAGGGAGCCCGCCGCCGCCCAGCGCCGCGCCGCGCACCCGCCGACACCCGCCGCCGCCGCCGGCGCAGGCGCTCCCCCTGGCGGCCGCCCGCCCGCGCCCACCCACCTGCGCGCGGAGGGCGCCGGCCGCCGGGCAGCGCGGCCTCCCCCCGGTCACCGCCTCCCGCCGAGCCTCCCGGTCCCCCTCCCGCACGGCCTGCTCCCGGTCACCCCCTCCCGGCGATCCCCTCCCGCCGATCCCCTCCCGCCGATCCCCTCCCGGTCACCCCCTCCCGCCGATCCCCTCCCGGTCACCCCCTCCCGGTCACCGCCTCCCGCCGAGCCTCCCGGTCCCCCTCCCGCCGATCCCCTCCCGGTCACCCCCTCCCGGCGATCCCCTCCCGCCGATCCCCTCCCGCCGATCCCCTCCCGCCGATCCCCCTCCCGGTCACCCCCTCCCGGTCACCCCCTCCCGCCGATCCCCCTCCCGGTCACCCCCTCCCGGTCACCCCCTCCCGCCGATCCCCCTCCCGGTCACCCCCTCCCGGTCACCGCCTCCCGCCGAGCCTCCCGGTCCCCCTCCCGCCGATCCCCTCCCGCCGATCCCCTCCCGGCGATCCCCTCCCGCCGATCCCCTCCCGGTCACCCCCTCCCGGTCACCCCCTCCCGGTCACCCCCTCCCGGCGATCCCCTCCCGCCGATCCCCTCCCGGTCACCCCCTCCCGGTCACCCCCTCCCGCCGAGCCCCTCCCGGTCCCCCTCTCGCCGATCCCCTCCCGGTCACCCCCTCCCGGTCACCCCCTCCCGGTCACCCCCTCCCGCCGAGCCCCTCCCGGTCACCCCCTCCCGGTCACCCCCTCCCGCCGAGCCCCTCCCGGTCACCCCCTCCCAGCGATCCCCCTCCCGCCGATCCCCTCCCGCCGAGCCCCTCCTGCCGAGCCCCCTCCCGCCGACCCCCTCCCGCAGCGGCGCCCCCAACGGCGGCGGCGGGTCCGCGGACCGGGATGAGCGCCCGGAGCGCACACCGCGGCGGCTCGGAGCGCGGTCTGAGCCGAAACGCGGTTGGGACGCCGGCCGGCCGCTGTCTGCTAACCTTGCCGTCCCCTGCGCGGGTGGAACCCCGAACCCCCCGGGACTGGTCCCTTGCTGCTCGGATGGAGTTGCTCAACCCCCATCCCCGCCGCCCGGCTGGACTCGGAGCCAAGGCGTTGCGTTGGGCACCGCGATGGCCCGAGTGGCGTGCGGGCCGCCCGGCCTCCCCCTGCCTGGCCCCTCTGCAGGGACCCCTCCTGGGGGCCAGCTCCGCGGGGAGGGCGGCCTGCGGAGGTGGGGGACCCTGTGTATGTGCCAGGCCCCGGTGTGCCCACGCACCCCGAGGCACAGGCACGGATGTTTTAGATCATCTGTAACATGCAGACTGGCACCGACCTGGAAACAAGACTGAGGGTTGCGTGCATCAGATCAGTGGACAGTTTGTTTTCAGTTAGTAGCAAAGACCAGCATTTAAAACCTGCTGTCTTAGAACATTGTCTCACCATCTTTAACTAAACAATGGTTCGCGCGTTTTAGTGTGAAACAGCTGTGGCCTTAGGACTTCCTGGCTGCCTGGTCCAGGGGGCTTCGATGCCCCTGCGCTCCCTGCCAGCGCCCTGCAGGGACAGGGGAGCCATGGGCTTGATTCTTCAAGTCCAACCACTGTGTCGCCTTCCCCAGAGGGATGTTCCTGAGAATTGAGGAGCATGCGCTTTCTCTCATCCAAGCGTCTTTATTACGTCTTTTCCCCAAATTGGATGTCTTTTTTGTCACACTATGCAGGTTATGAGGGTCCTGCCATGTCTTTCATGATGTGTAGGTGAAGGACGAGACACTTTTTCTGGAATTCTTGGCTTGGTAACTGTATGACAGATCAGAAGATAGTCCACACTTTCTGGTCACAGTAGGTAGTCTGCCCCGGGGGCCTCTGAACTACTGAGTGCAAAATCCTGGTGACTGTCCTCTTCGGAGGTGCCAACAGGAAGCGGAACAGAGGGACGGACAAATATTTATTGAACTTGGAGAGAGTGAGATGTAGACTGTTTCCTATACAAATGGGCTCATGCCCAGGGGAAGTGGAGCGTGTATATTTATTTTTAATAAACACACTGTATTTGTAAAAATACAATGTTAAGTGTATTTATTAATTTTCTCCAGCATGGGCAAAATCAAGTGTAAAAAACAACCACACTGTTTATATGATCCCAGTTTTGCAGTGTCATAGTGTTTGGGCCAGTGTCAGTGGGCAACGAGCTGGACTCTTCATGGAAATAATATTTAAAAAGTAAAAGACTAAAAATGTCTTCTTCCAGTGAACGTTACCAAACTGTCCTGATATTCCTGTGCTCCTTGTTTATGAGGTGGAAGTGGCACGCACTAAGTGCTGTTTTGTTCCCAGCAGGTAGCACAGGGCCAGCAAAACCCATCAGCTGAGCAGAGAACAGTTACAGCTAGCCTTGGAGGTCACCGGGTCCTGCTTTATGACGGACTGCTCATATTTTGAAGGGCCAAAACATTGGGACATCTTTGATTACTGAGATATTGGGGGGCGGGGCAGTGGTTACTGTTGTGACTTTTGCTGATTTCTTCACCTTCACTGGTTTGCCTTTTTTGGATCGCCACAAAGCAAAAAGACCTCTCCAGCTTCTCTTATAAAAAAACAAACACTTTCATCTCCCCACCCCCAAAATAGCATCTTAAATTACTTTAAATGTGAATCATGTGTAGAATTTAGCCCAGCAAGTTTCTGTTATTTCTCTAAAAGAAAAAAAAAAAATCAAGTTACCTCAGCTGTATACAGTGCCAACTAAGCCACAGAGCATCTTACAAGGGAGCAAACCGAAGCTGGATTTTGCAAACCCACTGCCAATCTCTTCTTGAAACTATAAAGACCCAGTTAAGAAAGTAAGGGGGAAAAGAGAGATATATGTAATACTTTCAACAATGAGAATTATTTTTTAAGTATGTTACAAAATTACGGGGGGGGAGGAAGTAATACAAACTTATTTTTTTTTTTTTCAAACTTATTTTTAGTGAAACATCAGTTTGCTTCCTCTTGGGTGTTGTTTTAAAATATGTTTTTGTTTATTTTAGAGAGAGAGGGAGAGAGTGATAGAACATCAATGCATGCCCTGAAATCCAAAATCCAGGCATGTGCACTGACCGGGAGTCCAACCAGCAACCTTTCAATCAATCCACTGAGTCACTCTGGCTAGGCCCTTTAGTGTTATTTTGGACTATAATTCTATTTAATAAGTATTTATTTAATGCCACTATGAACTCAAAAGCATTGTTGGAGAAATTAAACCTAAAATCAGAGATCAAGTCATTGCATTGATTAGAAGTCATCCTGTCCAGACTCCTAGTCTGTATAAGCAGCTTTTACTGCGGTTTTATTTTCTTGTCCCATTGAAAACTGAATCCAATTTACAGGTCCTAAGAAATAAGCCTTATTTACTTTTCTCTTTCCTTCATTCCTTAAAAATAAAAAGTCACATTTTCTTTCACTCTCTTCCTTTCCTTCTGCCATTGATCCCAAACCTTGGCTCTCTTCATTTCCTTGGGCATCTGATAACCTGCCTACACAGGCATCTGATAACCTGCCTACACAGACACCGTGGGTAGCTAGGGAATGAGGGCCATGGGCCGTGCTCTGGAGGCACTCCTAATCTCAGGTGGCAGTTCTCTGAATTCCCCTCCCCCCAGAACATATAATACTCTGTGCAGCATCTTCTGGTGGAGAGACAGAGATAAGGTAGGCTGTGGCTTCTACCCTGTTTCCAGACCATCGGCTGTTAACTCTGCCCTTAGCAAAGCGAAGCAAATTGGAATGTAAGTGGGCAGGAGCGATGCTACGGAAGTAACCTTAAGTCCACTCTGGCTTAAGGGAAGGGAAAACGTGAATGTTTCCAGTGCTTTGCTTTTATTCATTTAAGTTACAGTTCATGTCAGCGCTGATGAAGACACACCAGTGACCCAACACGGTGGAGACCTGGGGTGTCGGCAGGCCTTGTCAGCTGCTCCCTCTGTAACCCTTCGGAGGTTTAGGGAGCTGAGCACTCAGCCTTCTCTTCTTTTTTAAAAACATATATTTCATTGATTTTTTTACAGAGAGGAAGAGAGAGGGATAGAGAGTTAGAAACATCGATGAGAATCATCAATCAGCTGCCTTTTGCACACCCCCCACTGGGGACGTGCCCACAACCAAGGCACATGCCCCTAACCGGGATCCTTCAGTCCGCAGGCAGATGCTCTATCCACTGAGCCAAACCAGTTTCGGCCTCAGCCTTTCCTTCTTAAGGCCTTCACAGTGATAGTGCACCTGACACTGTCAGGACATTATACCTCCTCAATGTCTACCTCTAAACATGGCGACCAGAATTAAACATTCTGAGCACTCCACTGCTGCCAATGCAGCCTAGCATTCCCTTAGCTGAGCTGTACTTACATGATAACTAACATTCAATATTTATTAAACGTAAGTATTAGGCAGTTTGCTAGATTGTGGTAGATACTCTAGTAAAAACCCATTTGTGATCCTAAAAGGGGTACCTAAGCGACATTCAGGTAAAGATGCCCAGGAATATACTTGTAACTCAGGTCTGTTGCTCCAAAGGAAGTTCAACCTCAAGACTGGGCATCCTCACCAAACAAATGGACCAGTGATGATGGAGGAGGCCTCCCCAGTTTGTAGAGTTACGGGTTCCCAGGACCAAACACTTACTTAGAGAACATGGATAGACAATTTATATTAGACTCTCCCTAGGAGATGACAGTGATTACAATTAGTTTGTGGGTAACTGTCCCTTGTTAACTAGTGTAGGTGATTCCTAATTCTTGGTCTGAGTTCTGTGAGCCACTCTGTCAGGTTCATGGAAAGAGCCCCCAGGAGGGAGGTCGTGGGAACTTCTGTTTATAACTAGTGGGTTTGCAGCTGGTTCTGAAGTGATGTAGGGGAAAGGGCGGTTGAGCAGACTGAACCTGTGGGAATTGAGTGGACTTAAAGGGCACCCTGCTGATGTCAGAAGGATCCCTGCCACCACCACCCCCCCCCACACACACACACATGCCCACACCACAGTTAGGCCTGTTTCAGGACCATTTGTTGAAAAGGCCGTTCTCCATGGAATTACCTTGGCATGTTTGTTAAAAAGCATTTCACTGTATGTGTTTGGGCTTATTTCAGGATGCCACTGTTCCACAGACTTATGTCTACTCCAATTTTTTTATTTCAGAAAGGAAGGGAACGAATTTAGCCCAGCAAGTTTGTTATTTCTTTAAAAGAAAAAAAAAAAAAAATCACAAGTTACCTCAGCTGTATACAGTGCCAACTAAGCCACAGAGCATCTTACAAGGGAGCAAACCGAAGCTGGATTTTGCAAACCCACTGCCAGTCTCTTCTTGAAACTATAAAGACCCAGTTAAGAAAGTAAGGGGGGGAAGGGGACGCATGTAATACTTTCAACCATGAGAATCATTGGCCAGCTGCCTCCTGTATGCCCCACTGGGAATCGAGCCCTGACCGATATTCGAACTGTGACCTGCTGGTTCGTAGGTTGACACTCTACCACTGAGCCACACAGGCTCGGCTTTGTGTATTCTTATAGCAATACTACACTATATTATAGCTTTATACAAAAGGCCTGTTTTTTGTTTAAAAAAATCTGTCACTGAAGTCGGTTTGGCTCAGTGGTAGAGCGTCAGTCTGAGGACTGAAGGGTCCCAGGTTCAATTCCGGTCAAGGGCATGTACATTGGTTGCGGGCACATCCCTGGTGGGGGGTGTGCATGAGGCAGCTGGTCGATGTTTCTCTCTCATCAATGTTTCTAACTCTCTCTCTTCCTTCCTCTCTGTAAAAAATCAATATATTAAAAAAAATGGAATCCTTTGAAAAAAAAATAAGGGGCAATTAAGCCCCTGCTCACACCTGCTTTGACCTAGTGCCGCCCCCTCAGCTCACTTGCTCCACTATCCAGCTGTCATCCCAATCTCATGGGGGCCATTCGCCCCTCTATTGCTGCCCCCTGGTGGTCGGTGCAAATCATAGCAAGCGGTTGAACTCCCGACCAAATGATCGCCAGAGGGGACTATTTGCGTATTAGGCTTTTACTATGTTAAGATAATTGATAACATTAATCAAACTCTTACCATATGCCAGGCACCATCTTACTTTGTTCTTAGAACATTTCACAATCACAATGTTATGTAGATACAACCATTTTATAGGTAAAACACTGGGTTTCAATTAATAACTTACCTAAAAGCTAGTTTTTTTTTTTGTTTGTTTGTTTTTATTGCACCTATATACTTAGGGAATGCACCGTTATTTGTGGTAAAGACTTTACCAAATGATCCCTCAACCCCCAAACAATAAACTTGTTTCTGTGTAGGCTTGTGCTACACAGGAGAATAATCACTAGCCACTAGGCTTATGCTACCCAGGAGAATAATCACTATTGAGCACTTGAAATGACTGGTCTGAACTGAGAAGTGCTGAGTGTATAATATACACTGTATATTGAAGACTTGATATGAAAGAGAATATAAAAGAACTGTAATTCTTATACTGATTACACAATAAATATGTTGGAAATATTGAAATTTCAACACATTAAGATTAGCTTCACTTTTTTCATTTTTAAATGTGGCTACTGGAATATTTAAAACTACATATGCAGTTTGCATTTGTGGCTCACTTCTATGTTAGACAGTGCTTGCCTGGCACATTTCACAGACTTACATTGGCCGGTCAGATTAATGCAGGTTGAGTCTCTCACACCAAGGGCCTAGGCAGGGCCAGACCAAATGATTTCATGGGCCTTATACAGCCAATGGGCCAGACTTTCCTCACCCCTGGTCTAAACTCAAGACCAAGAAAAATATGAGACAGAATGTAATACTGTCTTTCAAGTCTAGTAGTTCATCTCTTCAGATTCTGAGTTGTCTCTGATGAAAAAATTCATCCAAAAATGTAAAACTATTTGAGTTTAGGCCATGATATATCTTCATATAGATTTTTTGAGGGAGCGTATCAGGAAAGGGCAGATTTGCTCTGGTCAGTATGACTGGAAAATGGCTTGCTATTACCTTATAAACATTTAATCCTGTGATCAAATTATTTGAGTGGTATCTTGATCTCCACATATTACAAGGTATGATTAGCACTGAGGTTCCGTGTCCAGGCCACAGATGAGTGAAGATTCTATTCAATGAAGACAAATGTGCTACAAAGCTAATTCTATGTTGTACCATCAGGTCCTAATTAAAGGAATGTATTCTAACAACATTCACTGTTGTCCAAATCTTTATTAGCAGCAAATGTGCACCTTTAACAGGTAACCTGTGCCTCAGCTGTCTCCTCTCCAAACGAATGGAGTTTGCTTCCACCAACTGGAGTCTCTGGCAACCCTAAAAGCACAGTGCCATGCTGTGCCTCCTCCTGGCTGGTTCCCTGCGCTCTCCAGAGCCATCCCTAATTAGACAGCACTTCCCTCTGGGGCCTCCCACTTCCTGTCTGTCTGCCCTGGAGAAGCTGCTTACCTCTGAGGGCTGCTCCCCTGGGACACAGGGACCATAATCCGTTTTCAGTGTTCATCTCTACTCCGAGGTGGCTGAGCCACATGACACACAGCCAACTCTCTTCCTCCAGTTTGCCCAAGGTGGCTGTTTCTGAAACGCCATTTGTCACCAGGTAGATTTGCTACTTCCTCAGTCACATCTACCACCTGCCCCAACTTGAGGAAGCTAGCCCTTTCTCCAATACCCTGTTTTATCAGTTTTGTGTGTTTTTTTACTTTGAATCTTCCCCTGAAAGGACTTATTTTCCCTACATAACTCAGGAGTTAAAATCATTAGACATTTTGTAAGGCAAATACTTTTTACATTTGCTAGGTATCTATTTGCAAAACCATGTTAAATCTAACATCAGAATGGGGCTTTTCTTGCCCCAGAGAACTACCAACACCATTTACTACATACTGAGTGCTACCTATCTTAAATGGGCCCCTCCATTACTCAGTTATCAGCCATTAGTAATACTGGAATTTCAGAAAGATCTGAGAGTAAGTCAGATTTTGGTTCAGCAAGCCAAAATACCATTTCATATATTGGGAGGCAGCCCAATGTGGATTCCCTTCAGCAGGGGCTTCTATACAAGTGAACATAAGCTGAGGGAAAAGCAGGAAGAGGGCAGGAATTAGTACCTTGGGAAAGCATGCTAGAGCACCGTAAAGACCACTCTGGTGAGCCAGTGAAGAACCCAAGAACCCGTGAAGGCAGGTTAGGTAGGATGCTATCCTAAACGAGAAGTTAGACAGCAGTTCAGTCACTATTTTATGGTGACTGTTCAAACCCTTGTGCTGTGTCATCTTCTGTCCTCACTCAGCAGTCCAACAGTTAGCTCATTTCCAAACTCTGGCAATAAGCCACCAAACTGGGAAAGCGTGGCAAAATATTCCGGAGCACTTTAACACAGAGAAACACTTGATCACCCTGCTGAAGGATAATAAAGTTCTACCAAGGATCAATTTATCAGTGCCTTTAGTCTACATTGTTTGTACTTGGCTTTCCTTCCTACTCAACCCACAGCATTTGCATATGGCCCTAGGGAATCTCACACCTTGCAGATCCCTTTAGTTTTTCACTTAAACATAAGTCTACAATGTTAAGTGCCAAGCAAGCATTTTGACCCCTAGCTGGGCCGGTGTGGCTCAGCGGTTGAGCAATGACCTAGCAAACAAGAGGTAGACAGTTGTATTCCTTATCAGGGAACATGCCCAGGTTGCAGGCACAATCCCCAGTAGGGGTCATGCAGGAGGCAGTGAATCGATGATGTTCCTCTCTCATGGCTATTTCCATCTCTCTACCCCTCTCCCTCTCTTTAAAATCAAAACCACGACATAATAAAATTCATCTGACCCCCTAGCCTTCAAGCCCTATTGCATAGGACTGACCACTCCCTAAAATCATTACCCTGTTGCAAGCAAATGTTGGTTTGCTAAAAGGAATTTATGCTTTTACTCTGAGCATGTGAAATATCCATAAGCCACATAAACTGTATAACCTTACCTTACTATATTCTTTTTAAAAAAATATTTTATTGATTTTTTACAGAGAGGAAGGGAGAGATATAAAGATGATAAACATCAACAGCGGCCTCTTGCACACCCCCTACTGGGGATGTTCCTGCAACTCAGGTACATGCCCTTGACCAGAATCAAACCTAGGATCTTTCAGTCCGCAGACAGACCCTCTACCAGAGCCAAACCGGTTTCGGCTACCTTACTATATTCTTTTTTTAAAAAGTATTTCTATTGATTTCAGAGGGAGATAGGAACATCAATAATAATTGAGTCTCACAGTGGGGATCCAGTCCAAACCCACCCACATGCCTTCACCAGTAATTGAACCGTGACCTCTTGGTTCTCCTCTTCTGCAGCATCGCAACCCAGCACACAAGTTATCCTCCCAAGCCACCAAACAAGTCCACCGGACAGTAAGCTGTCCCACGCCCATAGAGTCCATTAATACCACAAGCCTACTGAGAATACCTTAGCACACCGAGTATTTTTTAAAACCGAGATTTATTGCGCGACTGATCAAAATCCTTAAGATGAACTGGATGCGGCCACAGCTGCCCTCTTGGGTTTGGGTGTTGTTCCTTCACGGAATCCATGCCTGCACCAAGTTAAAAACAAGAACGTTACACCTCAGCAACGCCATGCATACATCTTATTTTTTGCTAAAACAAATTTTAAATGAGCTTATCTCAGTCACATGCTGAAATCAATGTAGAATTCATATGTTCAGACATTTATTTGTACAACATCACTGATAAGCTCCCACAGTTTATTTACATCCTGCTTCCAGGAATCTATTTCAGGGACATAGTTAACTGCACTTGAAAAGTAAACTCAGCAACATATTTGGTTGCTGAGCACTGGACTGGTATTTCCCCACACCTGTGAAGAGACCCAGGTACTTGTGAAAATGGATCCCTATGCTGAGGCAGATATTAACTACCTTCCCTTAGCCAAGGAAGCACAATGGCACAGTAAATGCAGGTGTTTCCTAAACTGCTGGACAATGCTTCCCATTCTAACTCAGTGGTCGGCAAACTCATTAGACCTCAGAGACAAATATCAACAGTACAATGACTGAAATTTCTTTTGAGAGCCAATTTTTTTTAACTTCTAACGCCACTTTTTAAAAATAGACTTGCCCAGGCTGTGGTATTTTGTGGAAGAGCCACACTCAAGGGGCCAAAGAGCCACATGTGGTTTGTGAGCCAGTTTGCCGACCATGGTTTTAACTCATTCACTATTCACACTTACTCCAAGGAAAGTGTGCTGTTATCCTCCTTTAAGATTTGTGAATTGAGGCACAGAAAGGGTCAAGACTGGCTTCAGTTTGTACTCTTAACCCCTGCATGGCACCAGCAGACCACTGGTCAAGTCCACACCACTGTGCAAATTAAAGACCACCTCAGCACAGGACAGCCACCGCTAACAGCCCCTGCTTCCTGATCTTTTGAAATTAGAAAACATGGAGCTGGGTGGGTAGAAAAGCCAAGGATTCTGCTAAAATTTTCCATTGCACAGGGCAGCTGTGCACAACAAGGAATCACCTCAGCTGAGCCCTTCCATCAGTTAATGCTTAAAACCCTATTGTCACAATGCCATTTGCAAGTCTAGGCTGGGGCTGAAATCCCTGCATTCCTAAGGAACTTTTAAAGCCTGCCTTTCAAAGACTGAAAATTCTCTCTGTAGAGCCGCAATAGCAACTGTTTTCTACAGCGGACTTGCCCAAAGCCAGACTACAGACCTCCTTCACACACTACTGCCATGTGAGAGATAGGCATTACCAATAAATACTATCACATCCCTAGACCTTTACAACCCCCACTACAGCTTACTGAAAGATTAATGAAATCTAGGTTTCATGGATCCGAAGGTCCCACTAACCCCACTCATCAGGATAACACCCTCCTTTTACCCTCCTACACGAACGAGACGGTTCCCGCCCAAGCTCACACAGCCACGGAGCTGTACCTGAATCTGCGGTACACGATCTTCAGGTGCCTCATGCGGCCGGTCCCGGTGGTGTTTCGCCGTTTGGCCTTGGCACTCCAGTTGTCTGAAACACAAAGGGGCGGGTAAGGTGCCTGCGTGGCTCTGCGCGGACCCCTGGCCCGCATCGCCGGCCAATACAGGCCAGACAGAGCCTCCAGTGGCTTTCACATCAGCTTCACGGGCGCAGCATCCGCACCTCTTCCCGGGGGGCCTCCCCCCCGCCCCCCGCCCCGCACTCACACTTCCTCTTGCGCTTGGCAGGGTAGCCGCACTTGCCGCAGGTGGACTTCTGCAGGTGGTAGGCCTTGGAGCCGCAGCGGCGGCACAGCGTGTGCGTCTTGTTGCGGCGCTTGCCGAACGATGACGTCCCCTTCGTCTGCAAACGGAGGGGGAGCAAACAGCTCAGCCACTAGTCACGTCGGGCCCAGAAACTGGAGGATCGAGACCGTCCCGAGGGCTGGAGCCGCGGGGGGAGTTTGGGATGTTAAGTCCTCAAAGGCTCAACCAGAAATCACTCCCGGGCATGGGTCGGCTGGTGGGGAAGCGCAATAACTGGACCAAAGTTTTATCAATAAAAACTTTAAACTAAAAAAAAAAAAAAAAGTCACTACCGGCCTCACACGTCATCTCAAGCTTTCCGCAAGAGTTGCCGGGTCTTGAAATCTGCCACGTTGGAGGGTGGAGGGAAAGGGAAGGCGAAATGTGTTTTTCCTCCTACCCTCACCCCAAAACTTCGGGGGCCTGGCCGCCCCCAATAAGTCCTTTGCTTACAGAGCCACACACTCCAAACCAAGCCGCTTCCTCCTTTAGTGCCCATCCGGGCGCAGGGCGGTGCGGGCCCCCAAAGCTCGGATCGCAGCCAGGCACCTAGAGCGGCTCCAGTCCGCGACTACAGGCTCGGCACCCCACGCACAGTCAGGAGACATCCTTCTGGCTCGTGAGGGCCGCAGCGTGTCTCTCTCCCGTCCACCCGCTGCCTTCATCGGGAACTCGCCAGGACCCCCACGGAGAGCGAGGAGCGAGGCGCGGGGGACGAGGATGGAAGGCGATTACAACCAACCCTTGCAAACAACTCACCATCTTGCTTCTGCCGCCGAGACCAAAGAGGCCGGAAGAGACGGCACTTCCGCTATATCGCGCAGGGAAGCTTCCGCCCCGGGAAGTACTTCCGGCGGGCGCGGTGCGTCGTTCTCAAGTGTCCGTCGCCGAGGTGAGCTGGGGGTCGAAAGGAGGTTCCGGAGTCAGACGGGGCCAATAGGAGTTTAGCTCCCGGCAGGCGGGCGGGGCCAGAACTGGGCTCCTCCCTCTGCTTCGGCTGCGGGACCGGCTCCAGGGCCTTCACTTGTATTTGTCCGAGCGGAGACCTCATGGCGGGTTCCAGGCCGAGCTGCTGGGGAAGCTGGGGTGTGACGCTGGCCCTCCGGGGCTCTCCGGGCCGTTGGACTGGGACGCCGATGCGGAGAAGCCGGGTTCCCCCCATTGCTCCCCGGACCTGAGTTGAGGTCGCTTCGTGGATGGAGGCTCAGAATCTGAAAACCCAAGCAAATCGCGTGTTTTATCACCAGTCGTTTAGAGGCACAATTTTGTTTCCGAGTTTCATTGTGCCCAGGAATCATACCTGAATTTTTAAAAATATATTTTTTATTGATTTTTTTTTTTTTTTTTTTTTTTTTTTTTTTTACAGAGAGGAAGGGAGAGGGATAGAGAGTTAGAAACCTGGATGAGAGAGAAGCATCCATCAGCTGCCTCTTGCACACCCCCCTGCTGGGGATGTGCCCGCAACCAAGGTACATGTCCCCAACCGGAATCGAACCTGGGACCTTTCATTCCGCAGACTGGCACTCTATCCACTGAGCCAAACCGGTTTCGGCCCTGGATTTTTTAAATGTGCTTTATTTCGCAAAGAGAAAAGGAGAGGGGGAGAAAAAATAGAAACAGCAATGAAGAGAGAATCATGGATCAGCTTCCTCCTGCGCTCCCCACATTGGAGATCCAGCCCACACCCCGGGAATCCAACCAGGACCTCCTGGTTCACAGGTGGAGGCTCAGCCATGGAGCCACGTGGACCGGTCATCCGAAGTGTGGTTTCCTGGCCCCGACCTGAAGAATCCGAGTCGTTCATTATTATTTGTGTCTGAAAGTCTGTACTGAAGAAACGCTTTCCAAATAGTTTCTAATTGGTGGTTCCCAGACCTCCATAAGCATGAATCCGGTTGTAACCTCTTATCCAACAAAGCCCCAAGCCTCGCAAAAACGGTATAAACTGTCCAAACATTTAAAAATCACAGGGAAAAACGATCCCAAATAACCATAGAATGTGCCTTCTAAAGCAAACCAGGAACCCTGTACCTGTCCTATGTGAAGGATCAGCAAAGGAGACTTAACCGCTATCAGAACAAGATGAGCTCTAGGAATCAGGTTTAATTTGGACAGGTGAACAGTTGATTAGTGTCTACAAGCTCAGCCTAATTACTGGAGCAGGAGAGGGAGAGAGAGGGAGAACCACATGCTTACCTGACAAGCTCAGGGAAGGCCTGCATGGCAGTCTTGCAAACTTAACGACCTAAAGTAACCACAAAGGGTGCTGAAATTAAAACTTTAAAAGCAGTTATAGTGGGTAGTCATGTCCTAGGCCAGAATTTTCCCTGACAAGGTCATTTTCCACCTTACCTAAGCCTCTGATCTTTTTTTTTTTTTTAATATATTTTATTGATTTTTACAGAGAGGAAGAGAGAAAGATAGAGAGCTAGAAACATCTATGAGAGAGAAATATCGACCAGCTGCCTCTTGCACACCCCCCACGGGGGATGTGCCCGCTATCAATGCACATGCCACTGACCGGAATCGAACATGGGACCTTTCAGTTCGCAGACCAACGCTCTACCACTGAGCCAAACCAGTTTCGGCTGAGCCTCTGGTCTTTTTGCAACTAAGATAACATACCTATGAAATGTCAGATAACTTTAACTTCCCTTTTTCCAGAGTCCTCGGGGCACAATCCAGTGCACCTGGGTGCAGGGACAGAGACTTTGAATTCCTTCATTGTTATTATCCTGTTAATTATTGACTGTTAACTATCCAGTTCTCAACTGAGTAAAAGAAGTATGTGTCTTATCATTATACATATATATATATTATAAAAATCAATTATATATATAATTGATTTTTTTACAGAGAGGAAGGGAGAGGGATGAGAGTTAGAAACAATCAGCTGCCTCCTGCACACTCCCCACCAGGGATGTGCCCGCAACCAAGGTACATGCCCTTGACTGGAATCAAACCTGGGACCCTTCAGTCTGAAGGCTGACGTTCTATCCACTGAGCCAAACCAGTTAGGGCTTACTTATTTAAAATATATATATATATATTTGTATTGATTTCAGAGAGGAAGGGGGAGCGAGAGAGATAAAAACATCAATGATGAGAATCATTGATTGGCTGCCTCCTGCACGCCCCCTACTGGGGGTGAGCCCAAAACCTAGGCATGTGACCTTGACTGGAATCAAGCCAGGGGCCCTTCAATCCAGGAGGCTGACAAGTCCTATTTACTGAGCCAAACCTAGGTTTCCCACCTTTGCTTTTTCCCATCTCCCTAATCTTTAAAAAATATACATTTTATTTATTTTTTACAGAGAGGAAGGGAGAGGGAGAGAGAGTTAGAAACATGGATGAGAAAGAAACATTAATCAGCTGCTTCCTACACACCCCTTTCTGGGGATGTGCCTGCAAACAAGGTACATACCTTTCACTGGAATTGAACCTGGGACCCTTGTGTCCACAGGCCAACGCTCTATCCACTGAGCCAAAGGGGTTAGGGCCCATCTCCCTAATCTTATCACCAGTGGATTTCATGTAACCCACTAATGTCTCCTCTTTTGATTGTAGTGTATAAAACAAGGTGAAAAACCGCCCTTCTCCGGAGCTCTGTCCCAATCCATTGGGAATCTGCTTTCCAGCAATTGTTGACAGTTTGGCTCAACTAAACTCACAAAAATTATTTACAGGTTTGAATGTTTTTACATAACTATCAGGCTCTTTTCTAGGTGCTGGGAAGAGAAGCAAAGATAAACCTTTTACTAAAAAGTGACATGCTTGGGCATGACCATCCTCCTTGGCCTGACTAGGAATTTAGGATCAGATAACCGTGTGACGTTTTCAGGTTCTCATGAACTGCATCACTGTAAATAAAGGCCAATTAAATGGGTTTTAAAAATCAAAGTCTGCTAATAAAAACAAAAAAATATTATGTAGTAATTTTTAAAGTAGAAAATTTGACCCCCTCTGTAATCACACACAGTGTTACAATTGGGTATCTTTTGTAGCTGTGTTCTTTTAAATATATCTATATACACATATGTACACTATACACATTAATTTTTAAACAAAAATGGGGTCTAGAACTTATTTTCTGTAACAATATACCCTGGGTATCACTGCTTGTCAATATGTACAGGTTTACTTCATCTTTTTAAAAAATATATATTTTATTGATTTTTTTACAGAGAGGAGGAGAGAGGGATAGAGAGCCAGAAATATCTATGAGAGAGAAACATCGATCAGCTGCCTCCTGCACATGCTCTACTGGGTATGTGCCCGCCACCAATGTACGTGCCCTTGACCAGAATTAAACCTGGGACCCTTCAGTCCGCAGGCCAACACGCTATCCACTGAGCCAAACCGGTTTCGGCAATACTTCATCTTTTTAACCACTTTTTGGTGTTTCATTGTTTACGTATCAACATGTATTCCACAATTTATGGAAATTTTTGGCTACTTTCAATTTTCTGTTATAAAGAGTTTTATAATGCAGACATTGTACCTACATTTTTGAGCATCAGTCTGAAACAATTCCTCTCTGAAATTAGTAAAAATATGTATTTAAAAAAAAAAAAGACAGGGAGAGACTTCTCAGAGAAGTTGACCCTGGGGCCTAGTCATGCTGAGACTGAGTCAACTGATGGAAAGAGCAGATAAATAACCGCCCCCCCCCCCATCCCCAAGATGGGCTGGGAGGCCTCAGGGCTGGATTCTCCCACTGCATTTCCTTGTTTGTATCTGCTTCTCCAACAGGAGGTGGCATTGACATATTTAATCTTTGCCAAATAGAATTAATCCTCTTTTTACTTATTTATTTTTAAAAATACATTTTATTGATTTTTTTATAGAGAGGAAGACAGAAGGATAGAGAGTTAGAAACATCAATGAGAGAGAATCATTGATCAGCTGCCTCTTGCACACCCCCTACTGGGGATGTGCCCGCAACCAAGGTACATGCCCTTAACCGGAATGGAACCCGGGACCTTTCAGTCCGCAGGGCGACGCTCTATCACTGAGCCAAACTGGTTTCGGCTAATCCTCTTTTTAAAAAATTATTTTTCTTTCTTGAGATTTTTATTGCTTGTTCTGAGGATAAGTACACAGACATTTTAGTTTGATCCTTTAAAAAGTATTTTCAAAGACATGTTTATTGATTTCAGAGAGAGGAAGGGAGAAAGGGAGGTAGAGAGAGAGAAACATCAATGATGAGAGAGAATCATTGATTGGCTGCCACCTGCATGTCAACTCCAAGGGACCAGGAGCCCTGGGAGCCACCCTGCCTGGGGAACACTGTGTGTCCAGTCCAAAATTTCCGTATCAATAGTAATCAGACTTGTCTTCCTTCTCTCTGAGACTGGGCTCTGCTCACCCTTTTGTTTTCTCTGTTTTGTGCAGTGAGATGTGTAGTCATTAGCCAATCCAGCCTGTTCCCCTCTGCTCTGCCCTGTTTGCACTTCCTTGTCTGCAGCTCAGCCTCTCCTGCCACCTTTCCTGGCGCTGTTTCCTCTTTGGCTGGAGCAGGTTTAGGGACCAGCTCACCCTCCTCCCCTGGGGCTGCTCCTCTGCTGCCCTCCCTTGGAGCTGACCTTCCTCCGGAGCATGTGGCAATGATTAGCTGCAGGGATCCGCCTCAACTTGTGATCATTCGGAAGGCTTGGGCAATCCAGTTCCTGCTCTAGAGAGCTGGAGCTATGGCTGCCGGGATTATAGAAAGAGAACGAAAAAAGTTGCTGGAAATCCTCCAGCAAGACCTGGACTCGATCCTCGATTCATTAACCTCTCGGAGGCTGATTTCCGAGGACGAGTATGAGGCCCTGGAGGGCATTCCAGACCCCCTGAGGAAGAGTCGGAAGCTGTTGATTTTGGTGCAGAAAAAGGGAGAAGACAGTTGTCAGCATTTCCTCAAATGTTTAAGTAGTACTTTTCCAGAGTCAGCGACCACTTGGGGCTTAAGGCATGGTAAGTTGAATTGTTAAATTTCTACACTTTTTTTTTTTTTTTTGGTGGTCGTGGGGAGCAGGGGGAGGTGAGGGTGGTGGTGAAAGGGGTGAGGCAAATTTCCTGGAAAAAGAAAAGAAAAAAAAAGAAACTGATCACCTTTCATTTTTATTTGTCTTTCTCCCAGGGATAATTTTTCACTGAAATATAATAAAGAGGAAGTGGCCAGCAGTGGACAATGTCTCTTATCAGTTTACGGGATTGATCGCTTTTTCTTTAAACTGTGTCCAAAATTTGTAGTGTTTTTTAGTATCGTATAAACTCCTCATTGTTATAATAGACATCTCCAAATACTCACAGCTGGAAAGAGACTACAGGGATTTCTTTGTGTAGTAAGGGAATTCCTGAACGTAAGCAATCCCCAAACCACGAACTGCCTCGTTCACCTTGTATAACCATTTGGAAAATGCAGGGAAATTGGTAACATAATCCCTTACGCAGTAGATCAGTCACTTTCTTTTTTTTCTGGGAACCCTCGTGTTCTAAGTAATTCCAACCCGAATTTTTCAATGTGCAGAGATAATTAAATGAGGAAGCCATCCTTCCGGAATGGATTGGTTAGCAATTTCGTAGGTTACCGCCAGGGTATGGTGTAGCTCCTTTTATGGGAACCTAAGGCCTGTTGAAGATCACTTTAAGAGGCATCACAGAGGTGCAGTCCCAGGTTAAAAAAAAAAAAAAAAATTAAATTAAATAAAAAAAAAAAGGTTTATGTTAATGGTTCCTAATGTGTGACAAGACACGTTTGTTTAAAGAAATAGACCTTACTATTTATTTCTAGGATTTACAATTCCTAAATTAGAGCACTTTGCTTCCTGATTAGAAATGATTAGGATCAGACTTCATTTCCAACGGCCCTAGGAGTTCTGAGCTGGTTTGGGGTTACAGTAAATCCACAAGTTAGCACTGTTCATAAGATTCAAATTTTGTTTTGTTCATTTAATGCTTGAGTTTTCTGTGAAAGACTTGGAATTTAAAAAAAAATATATATATATATATATTTTACTGATTTTTTACAGAGAGGAAGGGAGAGGGATAGAGAGCCAGAAACATCAATGAGAGAGAAGCATATATCAGCTGCCTCCTGCACACCCCTTTCTGGGGATGTGCCTGCAATCAAGGTACATGCCCTTGACCGGAATTGAACCCAAGACCCTACAGTCCGCAGGCCGACGCTCTATCCACTGAGCCAAATGGGTTTTGGCAAGACTTGGAATTTTGAGCAAGGCAGGAGTGTGTTCTGATTTTTTTTTTTCCAATGGGAAAAGCAGGTTCTGACAGTTGACTTATTGCCATCTGTGTTGGAAGGGGTAGGTATTCCTATCCTCCAGTGCCATAAAGAAGAGAGATAATGCTCTGAGAGCTCAGAAACACAATAGAAAACTTCTTTTTGTTAATTTAGAAAACAAAGTGAAAAACCCCATAACTTTCTTGTTCTTTTCAGAGTTTTTAAAACATGAAAATATAGAATCTCCTCAATCTCCAGAGGTAAGCAAGAATTCGGAAGACCCATTTCCCCCAGGAAAGGAACAGCCGGAGAATTCTGAGATCACACTGTCCTTTAAAAAGAAAGAACAGCTGGAGGTGGACACATCTGGGATGCTCATAGATACGGAAAGTAGTTATGGTGAGATGGCGTGGTCCTCAGGGGAAAACGAGAAGTCATACAACCCACCAGCAACCACGATGCCATCTTCAGTAGAGAGTGGCGAGTCTGAAGTTTCAGGAACTATCGATTATTCACAGGACCAACAGAGATACGATGAGCCCGATGAGTCTTTATACTTAGGAGAAGAGGAATACCTAGCATCGGCTGTATTCTCTGAAGATGCAGAAAGCAACGTGGAAGAAGAAGTTGATGACGACCCAGAGTACCTTGTCTACGGTGGGGAAGAGGACCCTGTGTATTCAGAAACCGCAGAGTTCTCTGGTGATGAGCAGAGTTACGGTGATTCAGAACCAGGCATGCTGTTGGAAGAGGAGGAGGAGGAGGAGGAGGAAGAAAGTATGGAAGGTATGGGAATGACTTGTGATCGTTAGGCAACAACATGTTTTTAGGTTGCCATGACAGAATGGAGAGACAGGCTGAGGGACGGCACCAGATGTCAGCCGTAGAGCAGCCTATCAGAAATTCCCTGTACCTCTCTAGCCTGGACTGTCCGTAGGTGGTGTTGACAGGGAGGGAGACCCTGCACCTAGGAAATGCTGGACAGGATAAGCCAAAGTAAACACTGAAGGCAGCTGTAGCTTTCTGATATCACCACAATATCATTTATGTGAAAATGAACTAGCATTCATTAAGCCAAACTAGGTATTTCTATACCTCCATGCATGCTTATGGACTTGCATAGGAAAAGGGTGGGAAGCAAATATATGGGCGTCTCTTAGAAGGGAAGTAAGAGTTCACCAGTTCTCCTCTGTCACACATGTAAGAGTTGCTAGACACTCATTTTATTGTATTTATTTTTTATTGCTTTAAATATATTTTTATTGATTTCAGAGAGGAAGGGAGAGGGAGAGAGAGATAGAAACATCAATGATGACAGAAAGTCATTGACCTGCTGCCTCCTGCACACTCCCTACTGGGGATCAAGCCCACAACCCGGGCATATGCCCTTGACCAGAATTGAACCTAGAGCCCTTCAGTCGGCAAGGTGATGCTCTATCCACTGAGCCAAGCTGGCTAGGGCTGCTAGACACTCATTTTAGCTGTTACCTTTTATTCCTTAAATTAAGTCTCTTTAGTCATTTTTTTTTTTTAATATATTTTTATTGATTTTGTACAGAGAGGAAGGGAGAGAGATAGAGAGTTAGAAACATCGATGAGAGAGAGTCATCGATCAGCTGCCTCTTGCACACCCCCTACTGGGGATATGCCGGCAACCAAGGTACATGCCCTTGACCGGAATCGAACCCGGGACCCTTCAGTCCCCAAGCCGATGCTCTTATCCATTGAGCCAAACCGGTCTCGGCTCTTTAGTCATTTTAATGCCTCTGTAACCAATGGATATGGTAATGATGGGCCTAATTATTGAAGTGAAAACAGGAGAGGAGTTTCTGATGAGTGGATAAAATCACAATATACTGTTACTTGGCTAATCCAGTCCATTTATTGCCATCTTGGGAAACTATACTGGCATCTTCAATTAGAATATTTTTTCTTTTAAAAAAAATTATTTATTTTATTGAATTTATTGGAGTGACATTGTTTAATAATACTATATAAGTGTCAAGTGTACAATTCTATATCATCTGTATGTTGTAGTGTGTTCCCCACCCCAAGTCAAGTTTCCTTACGTCACATCTATCCCCCCGTGCCCTTTCTTAGCTCCCCAGCCCTCTTTCCCTCTGGTAATCACCATGCTGTTGCCTGGGTCTATGAGGTTTCTTTCCCCCCCTTAATCCCTTTATTTTTTTCACCCTAACCCTCTACCCCAAGCCCTCTGATAGCTGTCAGTCTTTCTCTTCTATGAGTCTGTTTCTATTTTGTTTGTCAGTTTATTTTGTTCATCAGATTTCACATATAAGTGAAATCACATGGTATTTGTCTTTCTCTGACTGGCTTATTTCACTTAGCATAACACTCTCTGGGTCCATCCACAAAAGGCAAAATTTCCTTTTTTTTATGGCCGAGAACTATTCCATTGTATAAATGTGCCACAGCTTTTTGAAATTTCAAAATATGACAAATGCTCTATTTGGGGAGATCTTGCCTAAGAAAGTAGGCAACACCAAGTTCTGAGTAGAGAAGGGGAAGATGACTACCACCTCCCATTCTGTCCAATTCCCTGGGGGATTCGGAATCCAGTTCTGGGTGGGGAAAGAGTTATTTCCTCCTCACCACACCTGGTATTCATCCGCCAGGACTGCCTAAGGAGGTGCCACCAATTGGGGAGATTGGACAATAAATTGTCTCAACAGTTTGGAGGCTAGAAGTCTGCAATCAAGGTGTTCACAGCATTGGTTCTCTTTCTTTCTTTCTTTCTTTCTTTCTTTCTTTCTTTCTTTCTTTCTTTCTTTCTTTCTTTCTTTCTTTCTTTCTTTCTTTTCTTTTTTAAAATATATTTTATTGATTTTTTACTGGGAGGAAGAGAGAGAGAGAGAGAGAGAGAGAGAGAGAGAGAGAGAGAGAGAGAGATAGAAACATCGATGAGAGAGAAACATTGATCAGCTGCCTCCTGCACATCTCCCACTGGGGATGTGCCCACAACCAAGGTACATGCCCTTGACTGGAATCGAACCTGGGACCCTTCAGTCCCCAGGCCGATGCTCTATCCACTGAGCCAAACCGGCTTCGGCAGTGTTGGTTTCTTCTAAAGGCTGCAGAGAAAACCTGTTTCTAGCTTTGCTGGTTTGCTGGAAATCTTGGGCAACTTTCAGACAGCCCAAGGGTTTTTTTTTAGAGTTACTTTTGTTAATTCTTAAAATGTATACTTTCCTCTTACTTCTATTGTTTCTTCTAAGGTGTGTGTGTGTGTGTGTGTGTGTGTCCCCCCCCCGCGGGATTCGGGATTCAAGAAGCTTATGTTAATTTGCCATCCACCAGGAGCAAAAAAACAAAACAAAACGCGATCAAATCTTCTTTCTCTACTAAGCACTATATCTCTGTTCCCAAGAATTAGCTAGAGGGTACACTAGGAAATGGGAGACTAGGAGAAATTAGGTGCAACATGGACATTTGGAGAAAACCTAAATGGCAAAGGCATCTTCCTTTTCTCCAAACTTTAGCAAGAGATGCACTTGAGAAAGGAATCAATACCAGATAATTCCTCATACATGTGTATAATGAAACACTAACAAGGTTTTCATTTTCTGCATATACACATTAGTCAAAAATTTTCCAAACCATGAAATATGATGGATCAGCTAAAATGAATTAATTAGATCTCTATATATACTGACTGGGGAGAATTTGTAAGAAATACCATTAAGTGAAAACAGGTTGTAGAATCATTTGGTTAGTATAATATCATTTATGTGAAAATAAACTAGCATCCATTAAACCAAACTAGGTATTTCTATATACTCAGGCATGCTTATGGACCTGCATAGGAAAAGGGTGGGATGCAAACATATGGACGCCTCTTAGAAGGAACTTACCTAAATTGGTAGAGTTGTTTCATCTTTTACAGTGAAAATAGAATTACTTAGACTGGCCGAAACTGGTTTGGTTCAATGGATAGAGCGTCGGCTTGGGGACTGAAGAGTCCCAGGTTTGATTCCTGTCAAGGGCATGTACCTTGGTTGCGGGCATATCCCCAGTAGGGGGTTTGCAAGAGGTAGCTGATCGATAACTCTCTCTCATCGATGTTTCTAACTCTCTATCCCTCTCCCTTCCTCTCTGTAAAAAATCAATAAAATATATTTTTTAAAAAAGCATTACTTAGACTTTACATTTGAAAGTGACATTCATGGAGTGTCTTCTCTCCCACAGAAAGAAAAAAGGTGTTTAAAGACGTCCTGTCCTGTTTGAACTTGGATAGGAGCAAAAAGCTCCTGCCGGATTTTGTTCAACAGTTCTCCTTAGACCGAGGATGTAAGTGGACACCGGAGACTCCGGGAGACCTGGCCTGGAATTTCCTGGTGAAAGTTCTAGCACTGGATGTGACGGCCAGAGATTCCATCCTGAGACACGAGGTTCTGGGTGAGGATGGCAGAGGGGTGTCGCCATCCGGAGCGGAGAATCTGGAAATGAGGGACACACCAGCCATGAACCCCCTGGATGTGCTCTGTGCCTCCCTGCTGTGTTCAGACAGCTCTCTGCAGCGCGCAGTCATGTCAAGCATGTATCGATGCGGGTTTGCCCTTCCTCTGCTCCTGCCAGATGCGGAGAACAACAAAAGCATCTTAATGCTGGGCGCCATGAAGGGCATCGTGAAGGGGCAGCCAGCACTGCCTTCAGGAGGGCCCGCGGGGGAAACCGAGAGGTTTCTGGCTCACGCAAAAATGCCCGTCATCTCTTTTGTGCGTCTAGGAGACTTTAGCTTCTCCAAGTCCAGAATCCTCAACGCACTGCTCAGCCCTGCCCAACCCCAACTGCACAAAGTCTTCCTCCATCACGATTTGCCTGTTCCGGTGCTTCCCCGGCAGATCTCAGATGGCCTGGTGGAAATAGCGTGGTGCTTTCCCGAGAGTGACAGTCTAAGGGAAAACCCTCCCCTTTTCCCAGAGCCCGTCGCTGTGGCCAACCTTCATGGGGATCTAGAAAGTGTCTGGACACAGTTCGGTTTCTTGGTGGAAGTCTCCTCGGCTGTGTTTTTCTTCACGGACTGCCTGGGTGAGAAGGAATGGGACCTGCTCATGTTTCTGGGAGAAGACGCCATCGGAAGATGCTACTTTATCCTCAGTCCCCAGGCCAGGGAGAGTGAAGAGGCTCAGATTTTCCAGACGATTCTGAAGTTGAAGCCATCACAGCTACTGTTTTGGGAGGAGGAGGAAGAAGCTGGGGAGGAAGGGAGGAACTGGCCGGGCCTCTGGGCTGCCCTGCACGAGGTGATGTCCTCGTCACTCAGACATGTGTCTGTGGAGGACATGGCCTCCCTGGCCAGGGAGTTGGGGATTCAGGTAGACCAAGACTTTGAGAACGTTCAAGGAATCCAAGTTTCCCCTGGTGACAACCTGGCTGGGACAGTTGAAGAGGAGGGGCAACGAAGACACAGCCAGCCAGAGAGCTCGTCTGAAAGCCCCGCGGAGGTGCCTGCGAGAGAGCCTGGCGCCGAAGGCGAGGTCACCCAGGCTCTCCAGAATGTCCACCTCACCCCAGTGTTCGTGCCTTATGTGCACAACCTCTGTCCATTTCCAGTCAGAATTGGAGGCCACCTGAACCGTGCTCCTGTGAGAGCCCCTGGGGTGGCAGGCTTCCATCTTGGGTCAGAGCAGAAGTCCAAGTGGTTCCGTCCGCCACCCTTTCATAATTCCAGGGCCCATGGTCAAGGCAGAAGTTTTGGAGTTCAGTACTTCCAACCCCAGAGATTTTGCCGACCTGAAAGTTTTATGAGATTTTCGAGACCTGCTCGGGGCCGTCACATGGTTGGACTATGGGGGAGACCACCAAGACCCATTTGGCGGCATGTGAAGACTTGGCTTGGCAGACTGCAGACCCCGGGAGGTCACTTCCACGCACAGCCAGCAGGACCAGCTGGGAAGCCACCGCCTAGGCAGGCCCACGCTCGGGGAACACAGCCGCCTGAGGCCACTGAGAAACAGATGAGAACAACACCCCACACTGTGAATCCTCACCCTCGAAACTTTCAGCCAGCAGGGGTTATACACAGACCCTTAAGACCCGCTTTTCAGCAGGGATTCAAGCTAAAGACACCAGCTGGGCCTTCAAATCCAGCTGGCCAAATGGGATCCCATCCTACATCTAACAGATTTTTACCCAACTCTTTGTTCCGTCAGCCCACGCCATCCCAGGGCAAGCATTCCCAGCCCAGACCCTTCCAACCTATGGCTTCTCAACCCAAACCTACCCAAACAAAACCCACTCAGCCCCAGCCCTCCCAAGCTAGGTGCTCCCCATCCAAACCCACTCAGCCCCAGCCCTCCCAAGCTAGGTGCTCTCAATCCAAACCCACTCAGCCCCAGCCCTCCCAAGCTAGATGCTCCCCATCCAAACCCACTCAGCCCCAGCCCTCCCAAGCTAGATGCTCTCAATCCAGACCCACTCAGCCTAAGCCCTCCCATGCTAGGCCTTCTCAGCCCAGACCTACTCAACCCAAGTCATCAGGAACCAGTGCGTCACAGGCTAAGGCATCCTACTCGAGAGCAGGGCCCAAGAGGGGAGGGAAGCATTAAAGTGCTTACTCCAGAAACCTGAGAAATGTATCCTTTACGCAGGCCATTCCAATCACAGGATAGTACCCTAAAGAAGTGATGGTAAGAGACCACTACCATTAGCATGACACACAACAGGAGATATGCTCAGCCCAATTGTAAGAATTGTGTCCCTAAGAAAGAGGGGAGATATGAAAAGAATTAAGAATAGAATAAAGTGGTAAATAAATTAGTTGAATCCAGCCTTGAGTCTTAGATAATATATAACCTGAATCCAGGGAATGGGTTTATGAGGCAGCCCCACTTGGGGAAGAATGGGCTTGGAGTCTCCAATTGTAAAGAGATCATAAACTACGGCTTGGGCTGTCTCAGTATCGAAAATGAAATTGCCTTAGATGTTGGCTGTTCCAGAGTGTCTTGGTCAAAATTTTTGGTTTAATATCAGGCACTAACCAGGTAACCCTGTTTGTTTAGGATAATCAATTTGCTTGTGGTGAATTTGCTTAGATGATGAAACTCTCACTTGACCCTTATGTATAGAAATAATGAACTATCAACCAATAAAATTATTTTTCATTAACTTTAATAGTAATTTGTGCATGTTTCATTATTTTAAATATTTGTGGTAGGTAAGATAATTGGGCTTAATCTTAGAGGATCTGATACATTAACCTCGTGATTTCAGCTTAAAATGTATACTTACCAGTAAGTTTTTTTTTGTTAATCCTCACCTGAGGATATTTTTTCATTGATTTTTAGAGGGAGTGGAAAGGAGAGGGAAAGACAGAGAGAGACATCGATGTGAGAGACACATCAATTGGCTGACAGGGGACCTGCAACCAAGGTACCTGTCCTTGACTGAAATTGAACCCTGGCCTGACACTCTATCCACAGAGCCAAACTGGCTAGGGCTATATACTTAAGTTTTTTAATGTTGGAGTAGTTATGATTATCATTATTTATTGGTTTTAAATGTATTCAGAGGTCAGCTATTTTTGTTTGTAGAAGGTAGAGACAAACATACATGGTTAAACATTACAAGTAATTTAGCAGCCACCTTTGGCCATTAATTTCAAACTCTTCCAATGACAGTTTTTGAAATTAATGTTAATAGAGGTATTGGGTATAAAAGCATTTCCATCGTTGGTGGGAGCATAAGGTATTGTTGTGGTGAATTTGCTTAGATGATGAAACTCTCACTTGACCCTTATGTATAGAAATAATGAACTATCAACCAATAAAGTTATTTTTCATTAACTTTAATAGTAATTTGTGCATGTTTCATTATTTTAAATATTTGTGGTAGGTAAGATAATTGGATTTAATCTTAGAGGATCTGATACATTAACCTTGTGTATAATAGTACAGTCCTTTGGGAAGGCAATTTGACTGCATGAGTAAAAATAAAATAAAATACCTGTAACTTTTGGTCCAGTAAATTTATTTTATGAATTCATTCTACATATATTCCTGTTAGTGTATGCAAAGATGTATATGTGTAAAAATATACAACTTTTTTTTTTTTTTAAAGAGAACACTTATTGGTTAAGTTACAGAGGCAGAAAAAGTAATTCCTAGAAGAAATGGGCTTAGGAAACAAGTTCTAGAAGTAAAGAAAGGGCCCTTGGAAGCTAATGGTAACGTGCCTGGTGGGCTGGGTGGTAGGAGGGGGAGGGGGAGACGGGTGTGAAGGGGAGGGAAAAGGAAAGGCACAGGCCTGGTCCCAGGAGGGAGAGTGCATTGGGTCCTTCATCCTAAGGGTTTTAAAGGCGGAGATTTTATGGAAGGTCCCAGGGAAAGATCTCAATAGAACATTCAGCAGTTTTCCAGGTGTGTTCTTTCAGGGAGTACTGAACCCCAAAACTTCTACCTTGACTATGGACCCTTGAATTATGACCCACAGGTCATTATTCCATGCCGCTGGTCCTGAGGCTGGTTATCTGGGCCTGGAGCTGAAGTACAACAATGACCCCCTCATGGCCAGTCACAGGGAGGATGGACTCACTCCGCTCAGTCAGGTAGACTCCACTCCAAGGGGGCATCCTGGGTGCCACCTGGGCCGTCCAGTTTTACTCCGTGTCCTTGAAGAGTTAGCGCTATCCTTTCAGGCCTCATGGCAGATCAACCTTTGGGGTAACGGTATCTGGTAAGTGTGCCCCGAATAAGTGCATGAAAACTGGCATGGGGGATTTTCTTGGTTGAAAGAGGAGTGGGAAAAAAAAAAAAAAAAGTGCAGAAAACAGGCTGGGGCACATGAGAAGTCTGAAATGCACCATGTGGGCCTGACCATGAGACATGCTTCCCTGTGCTAAGTCCAGCCAGAAGGATCAGGCTTAACAGCTTCTTCGTCCCAGGACCTCAATTCATTGGCGGCATTCTCCTCATATATCTTTTGAAGGCTGCTGTCAAATGGAATAGAAAATGCTTTAGAAACCCATTTGAATTATAGCAGCACCATATATTTAATATTTTTGTCGGAGGGACTTAGGGTGAGCAGAGGGTCAATTTTGCCTTTTTTTCCCCCCCTCTCTCTTTTTAATCAGAAGGGGCCCATCACTCATCATAATAGTTAGTGGTTTTGGGAGTGAAAAAAGTCCTCTCAGCTTGAGGTGAACCTGTTGGGTTCGAAAGCATAATAAGCTTTCTTTCTTTCCTAAAATAGACCCAATCAATATACTTTATTGTATTTTATTGGGGCATTCATCAGATAAATCTGATGAATCAAATGTGAGGTAAAGCTTTTTCTGAGAGGCTTGGAAATGCACGCACCTGGGATCTGGGGCTGTGTCTAGGAATATTATTTATTCTGCAAAAATGCTCTGAGCTCCCACCATGGGCCCAAATGCAGAGCGTCCGGGGAAAACATTTAACTATTTCTGCTGGAGTGGGGGTCACACAATCAGCCCATCATGCAAGGCCCAGTTGTGAAGGAGTGGAGAAGCCCATGTGATTAAGTGCAGGGCTGTTTCTCAGCAGAGCTTTTCAGGGTGATGAAGGCTGGCTCTTCAGGTTCCAACTGTGAGTAGACAGGACAGCAGCCGGTTATAAGGGGAGGAGTTGGCCTCAGTTAGGAGTGCTCTGAGGTCACCTATGGTGACAAAGGGTAAGGCGGAGTATTGGGGTGCAGATGCTGATAGGTGGGTGGGCGCACAATGAGAGTGTGGAAGTCCTCTTATAACGGATTCCATTGTATAAATGAAATAGACAAAAGGCACATGAAAAGATGCTCAAGATTATTATTAGAAGAATGAAAATCAAAGCCACCATGAGATATGTCTTCGCACCTTCTCTGATGGCTATAATTAGAAAGATGGACAGCAAGACGTATCAGAGAGGATGTGGGGAAATTAAAGTTCTTGTGCACTCTTAGTGGGAATGTTAAATGGCGCAGCTGATTTTGAAAATAATTTGGTATAGTTCCTCAAAATGTTGAGTAAAGAGCTATATTCTCAAAATAATAGAGATATCTCCGTACAAAAACCTTATATGAATGTTCATAGCAGCCTACTATCTAATAAAGAGGGGGTGGAGAATGTGGAGACCTATATGTATTCAAGATTAATTCTATATATTTTGGATTTCATAAACCCCGTAGAAAGGTTTTATTTTCTTCTTTGTTTTACACTATAAAAATAAAACTTGTTTTTTCTGTTTTAATTTGATGGAATGCTTCTTGTTCATCAAGTGTCTGCATGGTCACTAGATGGCACTATTGAGTCATGGAAAGTAAATGGCTTTTTTTTTAAACTTCAAATTTTATTATTATTTTTAAATTTAAATTTTATTGATTTTTTTGGTGACATTGGTGAATAACATTAAATAGATTTCAGGTGCACAATTCTACAGCCCATCATCTGTACACTGTATTGTGTGTTCAGTCTCCTTTCATCACCCAAAGTCAAGTCTCCTTTCATCACCATTTGTCCCTCCTTTACCTTCTTCTACCTCATTATTTTTATTTTAAGAAAGTTGAGGCTAGCCAAAACCGGTTTGGCTCAATGTATAGAGCCTGCAGACTTAAGGGTCCCAGGTTCGATTCTGGTCAGGGGCATGTACCTTGGTTGTGGACACATCCCCAGTAGGGGACGTGCAGGAGGCAGCTGATCAATGACTCTCTCTCATCGATCTTTCTAACTCTCTATCTCTCTCCCTTCCTCTCTGTAAAAAAATCAATAAAATATATTTTTAAAAAAGAAAAAAACAAGAAAGTTGAGGCTTAAAAGAATAATGTAGATAGTAAATGGTAAAGTCTGGATTTGAGACAAGACTTGCTTGATGCTCTTTCCAGCAAGTCACATTTTCTCCTAAGAAGCAGGCCCACACAAGGAGAGTGAAGCTGAACTCTTATGAGTATGTATAACTAAACACATCTTCATGAGTATTTAAATGCATGCAATTAGTGCTCTTTTAGTGTATGCGCACTCGGAAAGAACGTACATTTGGAAACATGGTCACATAAAAATCTAGGAACTGTGTTAGAGTGACGATCTATGAATCACCCGGTCTCCCTTGCACCTAGACCACCTGGCGCTCATGAAGCCTTCAGTGAGATCTGTTCTTGCAGATTTTCACAATATACCCCAGTCCCTCCAAACGAATGAATGAACAAGCAAGCATAGGCCAGAGAATCTTTAGGATGCTTATTCTGTTGCACTCTGAGCAATAAAATAATAGAGCTAACACATTTTAAAAGGGATAATTTTGAATTTTACCTTTGAGTAAAGCAGAAAGCTACAGAATGGTAAGTTAGCTTTCTTTTTTCTCATTAAAAGTATGTAGAGGGCCTCCTGGGAAGGCACATGGACATCCTTTAAATTGTCAGTTGAGCCCAAGGCACTGGCAGAGTTCCTGTCCCCAAGAGGGCTGGGGGTGTTATCCAGTTTCTGACTTACCTTTGTCCAGGTGTCAGCAGGGGCGGGTCTAGATATGTAAATCCAGTAATGCTAGGGCCTACTTAAGAATGCACATAAGCTCCTTTGACCCTATAAAATAAATCTGCTGTGTGGCTCAGCTGCTTGCTG